CTCACATCACTCAAGCCACCTCGTGGCATATAAAGTATCTCAGGCCCTCGACCTCATATCACTCAGCATATCCTCACATATGGCCCTCGGCCTCACTCAGTCAAAAAATCATCACAAGCCCCTTGAGCATTAGTAAAACAGTAGTTCTCAGCCCAAAACATGTTGTAGAAATGTCATTTAAGTTTCAAATCTGAGTAAAAGTGGCTTAGTTTGTAAAACAGTAGATATCAACAGGACTGAGTTCAAATAATAAGTCAAGCAGTAAGGAAACAGTGATAAAAATCCCCGAAGGGTTCAAATAGTTGGCACGAAGCCCAAATATGGCAATCAGCCCAAATCATGATGATAACAAATGAATTTCAGTCAAATATTCAGTAAAGTCATCAATCGGGATGGACCAAGTCACAATTCCCAGTAGTGAAAGACCCCACGCTCATCATCCAGCGCGTATCTTGCCTCAATATAGCACTACGATGTGCAATCCGGGGTTTCAAACCCTCAGGACATCATTTACAACCATTACTCACCTCGAACTGGCTAATTCTCTAGCTCGCGACGCCTTTGCCCCTCGAATTGGCCTCCACGCGCGTCGAATCTATCCAAAATCAGAACGAATACGTCACAATATGCTAAGGGAACAAAGCCCAAGCGAAAACATTCGAAAAATATCAAAAATCTCGAAATTAGCAAAACCCGAGCCCCGGGCCCACGTCTCGGAATCGGGTAAAATTTACATTTTCAGAATCCTCATACCCTCACGAGTCTAACCATACCAAAATTATTCAATTCCGATACCATTTGGTCCTTCAAATCATCATTTTACGTTTTCGAAAGGTTTCACAATTTTCTTCCCAAATCCTATCTCAAATCACGAATTAAATGATGAATTCAGTGATAGATTCATGTATTCTAGCCAAATCTGAGTTAAAATCACTTACCCCGATGAATTTCTTGAAAAACCTTCGAAAAATCGCCAAAATCTGAGCTCTCTAGGTTAAAATATTAAATAAAACCCAAGACCTCGTATTTATAGGTACCCCTCAGGTTTCAGCTACCGCGGGTCGCACCAAAACGACCGCGCCCGCGCCCGCTTTTGTGCGGTCCGCACAGCACTCAACGCGGGCGCACTTATTTTTGTGCGGACTGCGTGAGTGAGTTCCGGGGCCTGCAACCCATATAGACCTGCTACAACTATGATTTTTGCACTAAAACATCCCGGAACCTACCTGGAACTCCCGGAACTTCAAACCAATTGTACCAACACATCCCATGACATCGTTCAAACTTGCTTAAAACTTCGGAATGCTCACAACAACATCAAATCACCAATTTAACATAGGATTCAAGCCTAAGAACTCCAAGAACTCTTAAATTATGCTTTCGATCAAAAGGTCTATCAAATCTCGTCCGAATGGCCTGAAATTTTGCACACACATCCCAAATGACACAATGAAGCTACTGCAACTCTCGGAATTCCATTCCGACCCCTATATCAAAATCTCGCCTATCAACCGGAATTTGCCAAAATATCAATTTCGCCAATTCAAGCCTAAATCTTCTCTACAACTCCAAAACCCATTCCGATCGCGCTCCTAAGTCACAAATCACCTCCCGAAGCTAACCGAACCATCGGAACTCACTTCCGAGCCTTCTAACACATAAGTCAACACTCGGTTGACTTTTCCAACTTAAGCCTTCTTAAAAGAGACTAAGTGTCTCATTTCTTACCAAATCCTCTCCGAACTCGAACTAATCAACTCGATCACATAAAACACGGATAACGAAGCGTAAAGAAGCTGAAATGGGGGAAACAGAGCGGTAACTCATTAGACGACTGGCCGGGTCGTCACACAACCCGTATTTGAGACGGATAAAAAAGGGTTTATCCGGCGGACAGTATGAATATATATATTATCCATGGATTCTTAAACATGGTCACTTATGAGAGAATTCCTTGTCTTTCAAACTTGAGGAACTCCAATTTGAGGCTTTACAAATGTAAAAGTTAACACATTAATTATCAACTGATAAGTGGATAATATGGTTCTTTATCCATATTCGATCCATTTTTAAATGATTCATTATCCATCCCATTTTTTGATGGATAATATGGTGGGTGACTATTTTCTTTTAACCATTTTGCCACCTCTAGTCTTGATGTTAAGACAACAAGTGTATGAAAGGAGGCTATCTATCAGCTTGATCTCAAAAACCTATACTTTTTGTGAATCAGGGAGGACCTGCTCCTATACTAGTCAAAGCCGAGCAGCGATGTTCAGCAGCTCAAAAAAGCGTGTCTTGAAGACTGTTATGGGGTAGATTATTTCCTCTGTGATAATTATCCATTTAATTCAAAACTAATTGCTGTCCATCTTTGCATCTATTGTATGTTAAGATAGAAGACGTTGATATGTAATTAGTCTGTATGTTAGTATGCGTGAGGTTTTCTCATGTATGCATGAGGTTCTTGGTTTCAAAAGTTTTGTTATTAGAGCATTATTTGAAGACACAGTTTTTATTGATATTACCAAATATTGATTTGCAGTGGACTCAATGAGCCGACTCTGAAGAAGTTTGATCTCCTAAATAGACAATTGATAATTACAGGGATAACTAGTGCAGACATTCTGAAGGTCTGTCCTCCCGTAACCAGAGGATACATCTGTCTTTGGTGGTTATTTTTCAGTTCAATATTTTTCATGTCACTCCTGGAGATTTAACATGTTTTTATCTTCACTCCAGGGTGTTGTTACCTTGATATTTGACAAGGCTGTACTGGAACCAACATTTTGCACGATGTATGCCCAACTGTTTTCTGATCTCAATGCAAAGCTGCCACCATTTCCTTCTGATGAGCCTGGTGGCAAAGAGATTACATTCAAGCGTGTTCTATTGAATAATTGTCAGGAGGCATTTGAAGGTGCTGCCAATCTGCGAGAAGAGGCGAGGCAAATGACATCCCTGGAGCAGGAGTCAGAACGCAAGGACAAAGAAAGGTTGATAAAATTGCGGACTCTTGGCAGTATACAGCTTATCGGAGAGCTTGTGAAGCAAAAGATGGTCCCTGAAAAGATTGTTCATCACATCGTTCAGGTTGTTAATTTCTTGCCTTTTGTTCGGGTCTATTTGTTTCCTTGCTGATTGCTGTCTTTAATACCTTGAACTGTACCAATTTTTGTGTTTGCTGGTTTTGTTCAACAGGAACTATTAGGACAAGATCCCAAAAGTTGTCTGGAAGAAGAGAATGTTGAAGCTATTTGCCAGTTCTTCAACACCATTGGCAAACTGCTTGATGAGAAACAAACGTCAAGGCGCATCAACGATGTATACTTTCACCGGTTGAAGGAACTATCTACAAACCCTCAGTTGGCTTCACGTTTAAGGTGTATGGTTCTTGATGTGCTGGATTTACGTTCCAATAACTGGGTGCCTAGATGGGAAGAGGTGACACATCATTCTATCTTATATTTGTTTCCTGTTCATGTCATAGAATTATCTCACTTAATGTAATATTCTCTCTTTTTTGTACAGGGGAAACCAAAAACCATCACAGAGATTCACACAGAAGCGAAGACCTTGGGGTTGCGTTCTGGTGCCTCTGCAAGTATGAGAAATTCACGTGGTCCTCTGGGTCCTCAAGGTGGCTTGATTTCTGGCGGCTATCGGCGAGGAACTGGTGGTATGACGCCTGGAATGCCGGGAGTTAGGAAGATGCCGGTTATGCCTGGGATGGATAATGACAACTGGGACGTTCCTAGATCATGGTCGATGCCGAGAGGTAATGGACCAATGGTGCAGCCTGGTGGACGTGGTCCGCCACCACTGGTCGTCAAGTCGCCCTCATTGAACCCAAGGCTTCTGCCTCAGGGTAGTGATGGCTTCGTGAGTGCTCAGGGTAGTGGTGCACCTCCTGCTGGAAAGTAGTGTGTTCATAGAAAGATTTTGCCTTTTGAGATTGGTTAATTGTCTTCCATTAGTTATATATTTATTTCCCCTTTTGACTAGTTAAATTAAAAGTTTTGTCAAACTTGTGAGTTCATACTGCAATTTGCTGCATAGGAAGATATACCATTTTTGAAGGAAGATTCGAAATCACAAGTCTGTCATTTGTTGGTGCTTTATATTTTCTGTACATTGCTATGCTCTTTGTTTCTCTCCAGAGTACATTGTGTCCCAAATGGTTTCTTGTGAATAAATTCTATATATATTTCGTCTATATTGGTACGCGTTTTGACATACAAATTGTAATTTTTGAAAAAAGTAATATCTGTATTTAAGTTGAAAAATAATATTTGGAATTTATAATTATGTTTGGACATGCATTTCACTTGAAAAAGTGTTGTACTTTTGTGAGTGAAAATTTATTTCCGAAAATTGCAAAATTTCATGAACAATTATATTTTCGTAAAGAAAAAAGTTGATTTTTTTTTTATGTGTTCCATGGATACCGAATGAGCATGGGCGAAGTTATATGTTATAAAGGGTGGTCAGTTGACCACCCTTCGTCAGAAAATTACACTGCGTATATAGGTAAAATATTAGATTTGAGAGGTATATAACACATATTGAACACTCTTTCTCGGAGAATATTTTTTACTTCTTTCAAGTTTGAACACCCTTGAGTAAATTCCTGGCTTCGCCATTGGAAATAAGTTAAAAAAAATGTAACCTGGTGCTTAAAACATCCGCATATATGTAGGGTCTGGGTAATGGTCGTATGCAGGAATGGGATATAGATATCCTACCTTAATACAAGTATTAGTGGCTTACATGGCAAATTCAGGACACTTAATAAAAGAAAAATTAATTGACACACGGAAAAGAACTTAAAAGTAATTTAAATTTTAGAAATGAGCTTAGACGCACGCAGGGGCGGACCCAAGTGGTGAGAAGTGGGTTCAACTGAACCCGCTTCGTCAAAAAATAATAGTGTATAGAAATTATGGCTAAAGCAAGGTAAATTTGTATAGAAATTATTTTTGATCCCGCTTATACGACTTATATCGCTTATGTTAGTTATAGACTTCTCTGACTGAACCTGCTTGCATAAAATCCTGGGTCCGCCACAGGACACACGAAGAAATATCCTTCTATTTGGAGATATAGCAGTAGTTCTATACATGCCTAAAAATTGCACCTTTGTATAATTGTATTTACTAAGAACATCCTAAAATTGCCGTCCTATTTTACCTTTGCGAGTCAATGAATAGTTAAATGACAATATTTAAGTAAATGTGGAGAATATACACATATGAGCATTATCGTATTATACTACAAGGATTGTTTACGCGGTTAATAATAATACAATAATAACAACAATTCAGTGTAATCCCATTACTGGAGTTACGGTAATGAATATGCAAACTTACCCTAACTATGAATGTTGAATAACTGTTTCCAGTAGACCATCGCTCAAGTAAAACACAATCTTAATAATTATAAAAAAAAATACAGTTGTGAAAAAGCCATGAAGAGACACAGTATCAACAACATAATAAGATAACAAAAACAAAAAAAATAACATGTAATAATAGAAATCTAAGGGTGAGAAGATACGAAAATAATACTAAAGCTACTGACGTGGCAAAGAGAAACACTCGACTACCTATTAGCCTTCTACCTTAAGCCTCGCTCTCCACACTTTACTATCAAATGTCATGTCATCGTTAAGCTAGAATTGTGCCATGTCCTGTCTCTATCACCTCTCCCAATTAATTTTTAGGCCTACCTCTACCTTCCTTTAGACCAACTTTTATAGTCAATAATAATAAATGAATTGTTATGGATGAATAATCAAATATTACTTATTTAAAGTTTTTTTTTATCTTTGTACTACTCATTGAATAACTTATTCCACATGTATCTAGGACAAAGCAATGCATAGATTTATGCATAACTTATATGAATAGAGTATTGTATAATATTCGATAATTAAATATGTAATTCTAACTAAAAGCTTCGTTAGTTTCACAAAATTATTTTTTTAGTCCATTTAACTAAACATTGTTTTATTTTATGCCGGATTTATTTTTTTTCTCTATTTATAAAAGGGAGTATAAAAGCTCCAAAGGTTCCATTTTATAACGAGTTTACTCCCGCCATTTCCCACAGTGCGAGAAAGAGAAATGGAGATTGTGAGAGACCAACCGAAGAGCTCCTCAGATGAATCCCTAAAATTGGCGATCGCAATGGCGCTCGTCCGATCAAAGCTTCTCCAAAAACCTCCGGCACCACCACCATCGCAGCCGCCGCCTTCATCCTCCAGTGCCGTTCCTCAACCTGCCGCCGCTCCTCCTCTTTACTCCGATGATGCTCTTAAATGGAAACGAAAAGTTCGATCAATTTCCTTTACTTTTTCGTTTCTTTTACTTTCACTTATCTCGTAAAATTTGCGTGTAACGAATTTGAATTTGAATTAGTTGTAGAATTTTGAATTATTTTTCTTAGGCAAAAGAGCGTAAATTAGAGATTCTCAGACTCAAGGAAGACCTCAAAGTAGCCGAAGGTTAGCCTTTTCATTTCCTTAATATTTTAAACTGAAAAATTCAGCTTACTTGTCATGTTAATGTTTATAATGAAATTTTGACGACCGCGGCAATTTTCTGAGGATCTGTTATGTGTTCGTTTTATTATCAAATGTCGATCTAGCTACTAATTATCTGATTATTTTGCTATATTCCGACCTAATTTTTTTTACTTAATTATGTTTTTCGTTTTGAAATCAATATTGCAATGATAGTAATAGTTTTCTGAGGATATTCTTGCTAAACGTTTTGATTTCAATTTAGCAATGCGTTGTCCGTATAAGTTAATTCATTTTGAACGGCTTATTTTTCGGTATTGGGTCTCAGAATTTTGTGACTTAATTATTTGTTTCGTTTTTAAATCAAAATTGCAATGACAACACGAGTTTCTCTGAGTTTTATTTTGACTTCGCAATGTGTTGTCCGTATAGATAGATTCGTTTTGAATGGCAATTTTTTTCCTTATATTTCTCTCTTTTTCTTTTGAGTAAGATGGTTCGCAGTGTGATATATTTCCGAAAAGTGCATCATGCAAGTGTTATTTCTTTGATAAGTTGGGGTTATTGAGCCCTAAGAGAATTGGAGATGGTCCTGACCAACGTTTCAGTGAAGTGCTGCGGAGAAGATTTCTCAGACAAGGTTCATTTTTAGGATTTTCTGTTGTATTTGTTGGTTTAAAGTTGTCAATTTGGGTTCATTAATGTTGTATACATTAGCTGGATTTATTGAATTGTATGATTTTCTCAGTGAGGATTAAGGAGAGAAAGAGGAGAAGAACAGATGATTCCTTGCTTCATCGAATTTCAGGTGAAAATGCATTTAGGGATGTTCTCATGGATGTAAACAATTGTCTTCACTTTTGATGGTTAACTTGCAAAGCATGACTTTTTGAAAGTTACTTTGAGTTGAGATATATCATACCTCAGTCATGCTGTGATATATCTCATACCTCAGTCATGCTGTGATATATCTCATTTCTTACTTGTGCCATAATTTGATCTCTGTAAAATTCTAGGTCCTGTTTGGCAAATTTTGCTGAAGATGAATTTTCTGCTGTAGATGAGAAGTATGAATTTTGTGTCTTTTCTTAAATGGCAGAACGTGACAATGAAAATAATGTTGACCAACTGAGCGCTTCAGTAGATTTTCTTGTGGAGCTTTGTGATAGTGTTTCTCCTCAAAGTGTATGTGGTTTCAATTAACCTGCTTTTAGCTAATGATACTTTTGTCTTATGTAAAATATGATTTCCATGTCTCATCTCACTTTGCTTTTATATAAAATGTGCTGCAGTTGGAGAAGGGTAACTTTAAGAACTGGTGCCACCAAGCCGTGGACTTTATTCTTGGTAACGACACAATCCTTTCCGTTTCCATTTGCCTTTCTCTGTGGAATTTCTCCTTGGGCTCATCTGGAAATTTTAAACTTGAGTTCCTGATATATATAATTTTTTTAATACACAGGCCATTTCTTTTTTAATTTTAAATTTGACAGGTTTTACTACTATTTTCTATTTTTTAATGTGGAGGAATGTATAGAAGCTGAAATCAAGGGGCTAATTAGTGAATATACTATCTGTTCTGAAACTTAAATGTAAAAAAATGACTGCTACTGAAGGTTCATCCTAAGATTTAAATTTTAAAGGAAAGATTGTTGTAAAAGACTGCATTTTGAGCACTATCTTCATGGTTTGTACAGCATTTAAATAAAGCGTTCTAATCTTTACTAAAAAATGCAAAAGGTTCACAATTTTTCTTCTTTGTCAACACCTTATATGCAAGTAATGAACGGTTTCACTGCATAGAATGCCTAAATTTCTGAACTTTCAGTTTTAATGATAAGCTAGCACCAGATGGGTTCATCAATTACGATCTAGTCCTCTTTCTTTAATGACCTTCAGATTCAGCATTATTTGTATTTTACTACTTTAAAGGTACACTTGCTACAATGTCACCAACTGAAAGGAATGCAGAACCCGTAGAAGGCATTATTAACAGCTTAATCATGCGTTTATTGAGAAGAACGTTCAGCGCTTTGGAAGGAGATGGTAATTATGTGATCTTGTTTTTTATTCGTACTAGTTTTCTTAAGACTATCTTCACCTTTTAGCAGACTAAGAAAGTATATTTTCACCTACATTTGGTAATGATGGAGTCAGCGTCTTCAATTCATTACACTGCTTATATGTTGTACTCTGAAAGCTTGTCAATCCTTGCCTACACGCAAGCTGTAGAAGTAGAAGTATTTCCTTAATTTTAGATTGAGGAAGAGAAAATATATTCTTGATGCAAATGCAGACCTAATAGACTTCATTTCTATGGACTTCCATGAGGTGTAGTAATATCTACAATATTTGAGTACAGAAGGTTATGTGTTAGAGCATGCAGACTTGAAATTTAGACACTCTCAGCAGAAAATATTTCGGAATCTTAATGTGCTAGAGCTATGAAAGAACTGGTAAATCTTATACCATAAATTTTCTGTGTATCCATACTTGGGAAATGACACCATGAAGTTCTTACCTGAGCTCCGTGAGCAGCAGGCATTCAAAAGATTTTGGTAGATATGTCCCACTATATGCATATACAGAACTAAGAAA